CCCCACATGTGAGGGACCTCGGGGTCGACCTCTGCCCCCCTGTCAACACAGACTGCGACCGGTCAGAGAGAAATGAGGAGAACCACCGTAGTGCCTCCCACCCCCAACTCTTCCAACCGGTGCAGCATGATACCATGGTCGATGGTATCAAAAGCTGCTGAGAGATCTAACAGGACCAGGACAGAAGAGCAACCCCTGTCCCGCGCCCTCCAGAGATCATCAACCAATGCGACCAATGCTGTTTCCATGTTGTACCCAGGCCTGAAACCTGACTGGAATGGATCCAGATACGACGTTTCATCCAGGTACTGGGGAAGCTGTTGCACAACCACACTCTCAACAACCTTCGCCACCAAGCGAAGGTTGGATACTGGACTATAATTAGCCAATACTTCCGGGTCCAGGGAGGGCTTCTTGAGGAGAGGCCTCACCACCGCCTCCTTCAGGGCGGTGGGGAAGACACGCTCATGAAGCATTTATAATCCCCTGGAGCCAGCCTCGCGTCACCTCCCGGGAAGCCAGCACTAACCAGGAGGGACACGGGTCCAACAAACATGTGGTTGCGTTCAATCTAATTAAAATCACTCAAGCCAATAAATGTGTTAACAATGAAAGATCACACACCAGTTTGAGAAATAGGCACTGGAAATGATCTTTTTAGTACAAAGCGCTTCCAGTACAATTTTAAAAAGAAGAAACGGCCTATTTTTGAATGGCCTTGTAGTCATTGCTTCCTCCCCAATTCTTCTAAAAATGGTTTGATTTGTTGAATATATACCAAATGCACATTTGTTACTGAAAATTGTTTTTTTAAAAAATGGTAATCCCAAAATAAATTCTGCAAGGTCTCTTGTGAAATACAAGCATCAGAATTAAGCATATGTTATTACTTTAATACAGTCAGTTTTCCAGTGTATTAAAGTTTTCCAGTATTAAATGGAGAAAATCTCCACTTTATGAGATGATACATTTATTAAAGTAAGGAATTAAAACATTATATAAAAGTGTGTAAAATAATCAGTATTTCTGCTACCACTGCTAATTTACTACTCTTCTGAGATATCCTACATTCTATCCATCCTAGATATCCTAATCAGTAAAGGAAATGGTGGCAAGTTAGAAATCTATAAAAAAAAACATCCACACTATCCAAGACCTTCACTACTAAATTAATAACTAATATCCCACAAGAGGAGTTGTGGGAACATTTTTCAGATGAGCACAAACACAGTGCAGCAACCCTGAAAAATCAGAAAACGAAAACTGACCACTTATACAATATCTTCCAACAAAATAGATATCCCTGCAACTTTATCAAAAAGTGCCTGACCTCTCAACTCACTATAGAACAACCAACACAAACCATGCAAGGGATAACTCCACCATACATCAATAAATATCTTACAAACATCCAACAGACTCTTAAGACCAGATGGCTTCACCTTAGCATGCCAGCTAATTAAAGCCCTACAGAATATCTTCCGTAATTCAAAAGACCCAGTAACCCAAGAAGAAACAACAAGAATCATCTACAATATTCAACAGAATATTGCAAGAATTGCAACAGCCACAATGTAGGCCATACAGAAGACTAGCAGAGTGCTTCCATGAACACCTACTAGCAATTAGAAGACACCATGAAAACACCTTAATTTCACAACACACGGACAGACTCAACCAGAGTTTCAACTGGGAGACTGAGTATCCTAGACAAAACTAAATCTAAAACACCAAGGAATTCCTGGAAACTTGACTCTCAACCATTAATAGAAATGTAGAGATAAACTATATTTACATACCCTGCAAAAGAGACAATATAAAAACTGAGAAGGAAGCAAAAAGATCAGAACACCTCCTCTCCAGTAGCCAACACCCAGATAAATAGGAATTAAGACTAGACAAACAATGAAGGAGACAAATAATACTGTAATCAAGGAACTATCAAGGAAACGAAGAATTAAGAAGACAAACAATCAAGCAGAAAACAAGGATCTACCAAGGAGAAAGCTAATACCAACACCACACCAACACTGACAGGACAGGCTGCAATATGTAAGCAGAACGCAAACCTCACACTCCCTACACTCCCTAGCACTGATGATGTTATTTAGTCAGGCAATGAAACCAAACTCAGAGAACACTAAGGAATCCACAGTTCAGCTTTGAGTTGTATTTAATATCTTCTATTGATACCTTTAATTCACCTGCATATTTGATACAAAAGAATATGGTGTTTTAGGCTGACTTATTGACTGACGTACTGATTTTGTAGGATAAAATTTTATCTAAACAATATAGTCTGAAGATATTCTGATAGACTGAAGACTTAGTTGTTGATACATGTCAACAACTTTTGAATTTCTAAAAAATATGTTTTCAGTTTATTCAGAAAAAAATGCCCTCAACTTTTGTTTGTCTTTATTCTGAATTATCTAAAAAGTCTTTATCATAACAATAGACTCCAGGCCTGTGGAATTTATTTTATTTTTCCTACAACCACAGTATATATTGACAAGACTAAGTGCAAAAAAATGGTTCATGGGGTAGATACCTCTTCAGCAATAAAGAATAGGGAAACTAACTAACTGTGAAAATTAGATTTAATCCCGAGGAACCTCAGGTACAGCAGGAGAAAGAGTGCCAATGTTAGCAAATTAGATGTTCACTTCATTTGTGCCTATGTTTTTTATAGTCTCATGAAGAAATCAACATGTAATACGAGGGTTAGATGAGCAAATAGTACTTCTATCACAAGAAATAATGTTTCCTTTTTATTATGCATTGGTGAAAATCTGTATTAAGTACTATGCTGATTTGTAGGAATCACAATTTAAGAATTCTGAGAAATTAGAATAGATTGAGTATTGGAAAACACGGATGATCAGAGAATTAGAAATTCAGTTTCTATTAAGGGAGATCAAAGGGGTAGATCAAAGGGGTTTCACTGTGACAGAGATTAAGGAAGCCAGTTTTATCTAATCATTAAGGCAAAAGGCTAAAAACCATGAGTTCTAGTCCTGTCTTAGGCATGAAAGCCATTTGGGTGATTTTGGGTCAGTCATTCTCAGCCCAACTCATCCCATGGGATTGTTGTAAGGAAAATAGGAGGAGGAAGGTGTATGGGATATGTTCACTTCCTTGAGTTATTTATAAAAATAATAAAGACACAAAATAAATAACAAATAATAAAGGAAAGGAGGATATGACAGCATGTTTCAAATACTTAAAGGGATATCCCACAGAACAACCAATTCTGTCTTTTTAACAGTGATTAACAAACACATGAATTCATATTGCACAAAGGTACATTCTGTTTACAAATTAGAAAAAAATATTGATAATATAAACAATTTCCCAGAGAAGTGATTGGTCCCCTTCCCTGGATGGGTTGAAGCAGACTCTAACTGTCTCTCTGCGATGATTTAACTAGGATTTTTGTCTTGGGCAAGCATTGAACTCTATGATTTAAGGAGATCCCTTCATTTGGATGAAAATCTCTGCCTTTCTTAATTTGATTAATATGAAATTTCAATTAATAAAGCCAGGGATATGATACATAAATAATCAGTTGGCAAACTTTGTTTCTTTATAATTATTTATTATTGATTCATTTAGGAAACATTTTGACTGCATTTAAATTAAGTTTAAATGCACTTAAACATAAAATTAATAGATTTCAGTGTAATTTAAATTCAAGCTATTAGTCCCAGATTAAATTTTATTTAAAGTGTTGCTTTGTTTGAAGGTTTTTTTAGTAATCATTTCCAAAAATGGCTTTTACTTCAAAAATCAAATTAAACTTTATTTTTCAACAAAATTATTGAGAAAATAATTTATATTTTGCTAGGTTTAGTTCAGTGGTGGGATTCAGCCAATTTGCACCACTTTGGGATAACCAGTTGTTAACTTTCTAGGCAGTTTGGCAAACTGGTTGTTGGAAGAAATCATTAGGGCAGAGAACTGGTTGTTAAATTACTTGAATCCCACCACTGGTTTAGTTCATTAAACGCAATTATCTATATGAAGAAAACAATAAACTGAGTAGAACAGACAAGACCCATTAAAAATTGGCATATAGAACAAAGGAGATGGAGATCCAATTACTGTATATTAGCATCATACGCAAACACTTATTGGGTGGCTGTGAACATCTATTTCTGAATTTTGGTTTTCTCTATGTAAAATAAGAACAGTAGTAAAAAAATCAAGGGTAATTATTGCAAACTTTTTGAATATGAAATTTTGCTACTAGGAGGGGTAGTATTTCCAAACCAACTTAAGCCCAAATAGTCTCCATACAAATTCTTTTTTATAACATGTTTGCCATAAGTGGAATAATGGTTCATATAGAAAAAATGATTCCTGCCCAGTGACCCATTTCTGGAGCAGCTGACCATTGATACTTAACAGGGGAATTTTTACAGTGAAGCATAAAGAGTAACTGTGTTCATTTCAAGAACTACACCAGATGTCTTAATGCTTCCTATGAGGATTCTTCAGGGTGAACAGTAAGGGCAGATACTCTACATTGCTGTCCTGTTTAATACCTCCATAATATCATAAGTCTTTCTCCAAGTTTTTTATGCTTCAAGTATCCAGTTCTTTCTCACTATTACTACAAGGCTGATAGAAATACAGACTCTTCAATATCCATGTTTCTGGTATGAATTGGACTAGTCAGTTGCCTTCATACAGAGGAGTATGCAGCTTGTGTGTAGTTTGAAAGATGGATGGAATAAAATTGAATAAACAGTCTTCAAAAGTGTAACTTTCTAATAAATTGCCTAGGATTGAAGCTCAGCCAATTCATCTTCATAATGTTTGATCAGTTCATCACACTGGGCAAAGAAACATGGAAGAACTGACTAACTAGGTTTTGGGGTGGTCTGCCACCAAGTCTTCAATAGCATAATTTGATCATTATATTATTCAATCCACTTCATATTTCTGAACTCCTTTTCAGTATTTAGGATAAATAAAAAAATATTATATTTTGCCAGGTGTGGGATGATAATCTAGCTAAATCTGCAGAAGCTTGGGCAGCTACCTGCATTTGGGACCATGGGCCTCCTTACTTGTTGAGATTTCTGGGACAAAATTTGTCTGTACGGACTGGAAGGTAATTAAATTTCATATATATATATATATATTTGTTTCAAGCCACTAATTTTCAAGCATCTTTTATTTTGCAAGTGTATGAGAATCTATCAATTAATAAAATTGATAGAGCCTTGGTACTACAGTGGTTTAAAGCACCCTGTTATTAACACAGCTGCCTGCAATTTACTGCTGGTTCGAATCTCTCCAAGGCTCAAGGTTGACTCAGCCTTCCATCCTTTCTAAGGTAGGTTAAATGAGGACCCAGTTTGTGGGGGCAATAAGCTGACTTTGTATAAATATACAAAAGTATGAAGGCTATTGCTTAACGCACTGTAAGCCGCCCTGAGTCTCCGGAGAAGGGCGGCATATAAATCAAATTAAAAAAAAAATAAAAAAATAAAATAAAATAAATAAATACTGTAAATAGTATATATGTCTACATATACTATGTGACTTAGGCACTTTAGTAATACTGAATGTTCAAAAATACCGATTTGTCTTATTTTAATTTTGCTCAGATATCGATCCATTCTCCAGCTGGTGCAGCCCTGGTATGATGAAGTGAAAGATTATGCTTTTCCATATCCTCAGGACTGCAATCCAAGGTGCCCAATGAGATGCTACGGGCCCATGTGCACACATTATACACAGGTGATATCGGTTCAGTTTTCCTGTATCAGTTCAAAGCTTATGTCTGTGTGATAAGTATGTTGCTCTTTAGGCTGAATTTTTAACAAATAACTCTTATTATTTCTTTAGATGGTTTGGGCCACTTCCAACAGAATAGGCTGTGCAATCCACACATGCCATAATATGAATGTCTGGGGAGCAGTTTGGAGCCGAGCTATTTATTTGGTATGCAACTATGCCCCAAAGTAAGTTTCTCTTGTTTTCATTTAATCTATTGTTGCATATTGTCTCAGCACACAAGCCATCATTCTCATTTTCCAATTCATTCAGGTTATCTTCTATAAAGTTACAGGTTATGCATAGGTTGTACATGTAATATTGGATACAGTATGTTGGTATTCTATAAAAGTAAATCAGGGAAGTTATAATTCAATCTATCCAAGAAATATAAGAATTCCCTGTTATTAAACCTCATATCATGTTTTTAAATGACAGTAGCAAAAGAGGCAAAAAATTGTCAGCAGCAAATACTTAGCATTTTTTGAAAAGCATTGAATTTTAAGAACATCTGATTTGGTTATAAACCCCTAGATTTTATTTCTTAAATCAGCTAAACATAGGAGGGATCTATCTCAGCCTATTTATATTGTAACTTATCTTCTCATGAGATTTTTCTGGTTCTACCCATAAATATCTAGTCCTATGTCCATAGGAATTGGGGCTAAAAATGTAAGTGAATTCAACATCTTGGATAAAGGTAGATTTTCTGCACCTAAGAGCATTCGTATAATAGATTCTGCTGTGCAGATAACATATGGAAAAAGTATATTTTATGTTATTCAATAAAGAGTATTATGAAATAGTCAGCATACTACATTAAAGTACATTATTGTTTTTTTCCTCCTTAGGGGAAATTGGATAGGAGAAGCACCATATAAAGTTGGGGTGCCATGTTCTGCTTGCCCACCCAGTTATGGAGGATCATGCACTAACAATCTTTGCTTTCCTGGAGTGACATCAAACTACTTATATTGGTTTAAATAAATGGTACAATAGTTCTAATGAAATGCATGTGTAACAAAATCTTGTATATTTAAGTTTGCATATATTGTATATATAATGTATTGATTCATTAATATTATTATGGACTTTATGTAATAATATGAAGATTAGTTTTTAAGTAATTAATGTAATATTTAAATATTTCCCTTTAAGTGACAATGTTACTCTTTTGGACCACTGATAGCTACAGATTAATAATGTGCCTTAAACAACAAAAACAAGGAAAATTGGAATAGGAATTAAAGTGATTATGTTTAGACTCTTAAAGGCCTTAAAATAATGTATCTTGAAATATTTTATATTTATACGCCTGGGCACAAGATGAACTCTAGATTATTATATCTAATCCTTTGAGTTTTACTTGTGTGCATATGTATGTGTTTTACAAAAATGGGAAACAAAATATATCCTGACTACAAATTGAAAAGTTTAAATAACTCAAATTGGTAGAATAATATCAATATGGGATATTTCTTTGTATCACTATTTAGAATGAACAAAGTTATGATATTTTTGAAAAATGTGCCCAACCAACTGTAATTTTATAAAAGAACATGATATTCTCCAGAAAATTTAACAGAAGGAAAAAAAAAATACTGAAATTAAAATGGTGTATATTTGTAGAGTTTTGTTCTCTAGTAGTAGTAGTATCCAGTGAGCAAAAAAAGTCCAAACATTTTCCTTTACTTAAAAATATATGTGCAATTGTGGCAAAATTCTGTGGACTAACTTTAGTTTTGTGCTTTGAAATATGCTTAGTTATGTTGCTATAGTTGAACAAAGTTCTAAATCAAAGCAATGTGGCTATCATCCGAGGGTCACAAACACTCTTCTTCCTGTTTGTGATACTTGAGGCCGCTGTTGTTTCTGGGTTTTGCATTGTGAACTACTTGACTCTTATCAATGATATTCTTTGTAGGTAGAGTGGGGCAGATGGGTGCTGCCATACTAATGTGGATCCCAGGTTCATTAGAGGATGTGCAATAATATCAGATAGTGAATTGTTTAATTTTGATAAAGTATGATATATTTTAAACAGCATCAGGTTTATTATTACCTGGATGTTCAACACAGGCCGGACTGTAATAATAATGCACTCTTCTATCCATATATAAGCTAACATTAATTTAGAGTCAAAGATCTTGCTTCTTAATGGAGAAAGGATATTAGTTTGCTTTATAGTAACCAAAAACTTCCCCAGCACTAAAATAGTGACTGGATAGCAATTATACTGTAGAACTGAGCTTCTGTGGGGTACATGCTGTTCCACTTACTATATTCCATAACTCATTGGCAAAAAGGTAGTCAAGAAATAGTTTTGTAACATTACAATTAAACCTGTTGACCTCTCATCACCGTCAATGTAGTGAGGGACTCGTCCTGCCATAGGGAGAAAACCTCTTGAGTCCAGTATGATTTTAGTTGTTGTGGAATAGGTTATAACCCTTTCTAGGTACTAGAAGGAATGGTGAGCAAAAAAAATGCTATATATTTAATTTTTTTTAAAAAAAGGAGTGACATTTAAAGTGTAATCACTTTCAGAAGTAGTATAGTATGCTTTCTGGATAGCAATTGTACATATCTGATTCTGTATTGCAGCTGAAACTATTACAAAGAATATACATGCATTTATATTTTAGTGATAATTATTCTTCTACATTGATATAAATAACCTGATTCTATGGAATATTATCTTTTAATAACTCAGACCACAAAACTTTACTACCAAACTGGTGCATATGAGTTTTTATAATATGCAAAATGGTGCTAATCTAGGGCAAAATCCTGGCTCTGTTGAAAGCAATGCCCATTTTTTTCATTGTTTTCAGAGAAACTCTGGTTCATCTACCTATGCATTATAAACACACTGTTAATTGAAACAAATACAACATAAGCTATTTCATACGAGCAGCTTCTTAAAACAGGCAGCAGGAACTTTCTTCATAGACCTAAAGGACTTTCAGTGCATTGATTGAGGAACTGACTTTTCTATCTTAATTATATAATGATGTTATTAAATTACCTGTACGGTTAACCCAAAATCACATAATATTTATCAGCTATGTTGGTTTCTGCCAAAGATGGTTAAACCATATTTCCTAGAAGTTTAGGATTTCTCAGTGAAGAAAATTGGTAATGACAGAGAAGCATTTCAGGAAGGAATCTGATTACTGTCAACTATTACTGGTCTTCATCTGAGTTGTAAAATATATCTTGGTTATATTCTAAGGTACTACTAGATCTAGTTTGTAGGAGTGGCAAAGCCTAGCATGTCTGGATGATAAGCCATACTTATCATCTTTTGGCAGATGTATATGTTGCCTGGCAAACACATCTGGGTTCCTTGATAAACAAATTGATGTGGAAAATATTCTTTGAGTTTACAAAGTTTGAAAACTGCCAGTTTACATAAAAGGTAAATCCTGATAAATCCTCATTTTCTTACATAGCCAGTAATATCAATGGGTGCTTGATCAAGTAGCTCAATCTGAAGCCACAGTATGTATCTGTGCTAACATTAATTAATTAATTAAATTACTGTGGCCTTGGACAAGCCTATAGCAGATATCTGAAGCATCAACCACCCTGTCACTATTTTTTTCAGCAAATATACAGAATCCCAGTATGGGAAGAGTAAATTTGTCAAATATGTGCAGACATTTTTAAAGGAAAATTAAAATTCTCTCAAAAAAGAGAAGACATTTGTGACTGGGCCCATGGCCCATTTTCTGATTCCAACAGAACTGCTAGTTCCTCAGTATTTTTTTTTCTTCCTAGAATTTTCTTGCAAGTGCAGGGCTAGTTTTTTCCAATCAAACAAATGTTGATCTGCTGGTTGTGACAGGAGTTGACAGAATGGCTTGCACCTGAGCCTGATGTGCCGGGCTGAGACAGGGTGATGGGCCAAAGTCAACCGGTTGGATTTTATGCCTAAGGCAGAAGTCAAAATCGCCTACTTTATAGGTTGGTGCCTTAACCACTAGACCAAAATGTGTTGGTATATTGTCATACCAATTTAACTCTAAAGCTGGTGCTATATTATATAACTAAGGTGCTACATTACTTTATCAATTATCGTGTACATTTCAGTTACTCAAAAATAAGGCAAGTTGGCTTTAATGAAATTTAAGTGGCTTAACAACAACAGCAGAGCTGACCTACAACAGTGATCTAAGATTATGACATTAATCTTCTGACCAAAACACTCATTGATATGGTTATAAATCAATTGTTTAAAGATAGCATACATTAAAGAGTGTCATTTCAACATGTTTATACAAAACTGTAAGAGTCTTGGTTGCAATGAGCTTAAATATACATGTACAGTGAGAATTTAGCACAATAATTTAAAAAGAATGGATGTGCACTGAATTCAAAGCATAACCAAAAGTCAAAACTAGAAAGAAAACTTCATTAAAACAAGGTGCCAAGAAATCAAACCTCCATATATCTCACCACAGATAGAAAATGCTGCACCAATACTTCACCAAGGAACCAATGCAAATAGCTTTCTGATATGTTCCTTGGCATGAGGCAATCTAAGATATTTCACTCATGAAGTCTGAACTCATGAACTAATATATCAAAATGTATGAAATTTAAGTTTTAAAAGTAACTTGTGGATCTAATAGATACACATTTGTAAATATGTATATCACAGAAGTCTAGCCATCAGAAAGCTCTGAATGACTTTGCTTGCATGTATGCACACTGTGGAAAAATAAAAGTTTGCTGCTGTATAAGCAAGCTTGATTAGCACACTAATGCAACTTAAGTGATAACACATTAGGTAATTGTTGTTGTTGCTTCTGCAAAAAGATTAGTGTCACTTCTTTTCCCTTTCTGGCTGGAACACAGTGCTATGCTTCCCTTAATGGGATGAGTTTTCAGTTGAAGAAGAAATGAGCTAATTCTTCCTCTAAACCAGTGTTTCTCAATCTTGTGGGTTTAAGATCTCTGGATTTCAACTTTCGGAATCCCCCAACCAGTATGACTGGCTAGGGAATGCTGGAAGTTGAAATTTAGATATCTTAAAGTTGCCAAGGTTGAGAAACACTGCTCTAAATTTTCCCTCTGTGTTCTTCTATCCTATTGAAAAAGATTTAGAGAGCAGGCCAGGTAGTGCAGGAAGGAAAAGAGAGGAAATAAAATCCTGTTAAGCTAGTGGAAATTTACTAGTGATATATTATACACCACTCTTTATATTATTAGAAAAGTAAGTGTAAATTATCCCTGTTAATTTCATGCCTAGTCTTGCTCCTCCCTGTGCTACCCAGATCTAGAATATCTCAGTGGTGGGATTCAACCAGTGTAACGACCGGTTCGTTGAGCATGCGTATCACTTTGAACTGATAACTAAAATTAGTCTGATTTATCTGAACAACCTGAAATTGCCTTTCTTTTATAAATCATAGTTAAAACTAATATTTATGCGTTATGTTTAATTAAAATGGAGTAAATGAGTCTATATCTCTTACTATGAAAGAGGAATGAAAAGTCAACTTACGCACAACAATGAGATAGATAATTTGAAGAACGCACAAGACCTAGGCTCATTTGCCCATTGTTAAATCATAGTTTAGTGTTATATCTGAAAATAGCTAATATCTAAAAGATTGTGAGATCAACTTTCCACCTTGTAACGTGATATTGTTAATACCTGGAATCAGCAATTAATGTATTTATAAAATAAAACAACCATTTTTTCTTCTATATTTGGCTTATTTTTGTGGTTTGTTTGCCTGAAATTACAGATCATTGTCTGACATAGGGGCCATAACAGATACATTTACTTGTTCATATCATTATAGCTATATTACAGATTGCAATAAGTATTACACTATTCCTGTGGTAACACAAACATAATTTTGCGTGAGAATATACGTTTCAATAAAAATACCCCAAACAATCAGATTTCTGAATATAAGCATTCTTTTTTTCCTCTCTCTTTATCAAAACTTGGAATTGATTCCCAGTGGGCCAATATTATATAATTCTAAATAGAGAAATTAGTATGTGTGCATGATCCTGAGTCCTTTAAAAAACTTTAGCAGCATTTCCCATTATACTTTCTCAAGAAAGAACCATTTGATACCTCCTTCATTACCTTTGTGGAGCCTGGCAAACTTTTTATTTTTCATGGTCCTTTGATCATTATGGTTCCTATGTTATTATTCAAAGTAACTTTATGAATGTGACATTTTTAGATTTTCTCTTTAAGTCTTTTTGGTATTATTTCAATGCTATTTTAAATTATTTTAATTGACTATTTTTCTTGCTATTTGATTTTTATTGATTTTCTTAGTACCATTATTATATGACACCTTAAAAGTATTTGGTCAGAGGAAAACCTGATCCTAGAAATAAATATATACAGTCATACTTTGCTTCATAAGTAAGACGTTCTGGCAAGTTCTAGCAATATTAATGCTAACAAGAAACTGAGTAATCCTCAGTACTTTTGTCACTTTTTCCCTTGATACTTCTCAGCCAAAAACACTACTTGTGCATTAGGACCCGCTGACGAAAGCCAGCATAGCACTGCCTTGCTGGGAATTTGACCTTTCCCCTCAAAGTAATAAATCTAGTTTGGGGGGAAAAAATCTGCTTGTTTTAGAATTGTTATCATTTGCCTGATTGCATATAATCATACTGAACAACTCTAGTATATTACTTGTTTTCATATAGATGACATAATTTTGAAAGAAGCCAACAGTAATGATCAAATATTCATCACTAATGATAATGCTCCCATTATGAAGAACAACTAACTGGGGAGATAGAATGTTTTCTGATTATACAAACCAGTCCCATTTCACAATTCAACAATAAATGGTTGCTTCTATGCATTAGTTAAATGGAAACAGTTGCTATTAGGAAAGGACACCATGCACTTGAATGCTTTCATATGAATTAACAAACGAAAATTAAGTCAAATTTTTACTCTGTAGTAAGTTCATGACAGATGATACTTTGAGAAAAACTGTAAATCTAATTATATCCAAACAAAAGGTACTATCTTAGTTAACACAGTCTTAAGCTGTAGCACTTGAAGCAACGTCCAAGGAAGCATTCAAAAAACAACAGGTTGCATAATCTAAACAACATTAAACATTTTTAGATTCTACATTACAATACATTTATTAGGCAAGATCAAAGGGATCAAACAGTGCATATGCTGGACAGGGCTGTCTTAAAGCATGGGCCTGATGGGCACTTGTCCGTGGGCCCCACAAGCACAGGGGCCCCACACTAATCTGTGTATGTTAACCCTTCAATGCACTTTGGATCAAATAAATACAGCAACTGTATGATTTACTGAGTATTATTGTGCTTTTCAAGCCTCTTGTATTGTTCAAATGTTTATCATGTTGACTAGTTGTTGCTGCATAGCATGTTTTTAATGTTTCCACACCAATTTTGTTGGAAGTGCCAATAAAATAAATATATGTTTAATTTTATCGACTATTTACATTTTTATTCCTGTGAGTAGTTGTCATAGGGGTCCCAGTACACTGCTTTGCCCGGGACCTATAATGCTGTTAAGACGGCCCTGATGCTGGAGTAACCAAAACTTTATATCAGATTAACAACACTTGGAAAGATGTTTCATGAAAGCACCGAAAAGAACTATATAATAGTTTCCACCTGACATTCAGAATGAAGAAAGACTCAACAGATGACTATCGAACTAATTTCCTGTTTTAGGGGCTTTGTGGGCACTTATGGTATAAATGACACAAAATGGATGCTTCAAATAGTCTTGAAAATTAACTTGGAACTACTGAAGCTTAAATAGAACTGGCTTAATTTCTCAATTGAAACTTCTATTAGTATATTTTGCAGCAACTGCATTTTTGGTCATCTCCAAGGGGAACCAATGTACAACCAAATATATTAGTGCAGATGGAATTATTATTATGGAACACCAGCAAGCTATGAAGTCTTGGTAACATAAAACAGGTTGAATCCCATTCATCCAGACTCAATCTACTGATTCTGTCTTAGCTTGAAATTGGAGTTTGGATTACATCTTTTCTGGCAAACATTTTATTAAAAGATATAACCTTTCATAGACTACATTTCATTTAATCAGATGCATAGATCAGTTTTCTGATGATAAACAGCTTTATATCTCCAGCCCCCTTGATCCAAGTAATGTTCTGGCTGCCCTTTCTCAGTGCCAGGAGGCTGTAAGAGTCTGAATTGGGGACAACGGTCCTCAGTTGAACCCTGGAAGAGTGGCTTTGGGTGTAAGAGACTTCAGGATCTGGTTGTTTATCATCATTAGATATGGATGAGGTTACCCCTTTGTACAACTTCATGTTTGTACCAGTTGTGCCCTTACCTGGCTCATGAGATCCTGAGTATAGTCACTCATGTCCTAGTCATATCTTGGTTGGATTATTGCAACACATTCTACATGGGACTACTCTTGAAGATTATTTGGAAGCTACAATTGGTGCAGAATGTAGCAGCAAACACAGTTCTGGGGGCCCCTAGAGTGGTACATAAAACACCATTGTTGCATGAACTGCCTTGGTTACCAATTTGCTTCTGGGTCCTGTTCAAGGTGTTTGTTACTACCTTTAAACCCAATATGGAATGTGTCCAGGTATCTGAGAAACTGTCTCACTCAAATGGGACTAGCCTGCTCCCACTTGTGCCAGTGGAAGAGATGTTCCTGCTACAGACCCTGTGTGCTATGGAATTCCAGCTGGCAGGTTAAGTATTTTCTGCTGTGAGTGAACCCTGTGGAACACTCTAACACCAGAGGTGAGAACTGTGCTGAACGCTTTACTATCAGAACTAAAATATTTGTGGATGTGTTTTATTTCAAATTATATATCATCAAACATATGATATCAGTTTAAGATGAAACTGGATTGATTCACAGCAAATCCCCAATAGATTTGAATCCATTCTGATCAAATCAATTTGAATCTGAATTCTCAAACACCCAATAACTTAAACTTTCCTACCATCACAGCAACGGTAGGATAGTACATTGTATTACACTTTCTCTAAGGATTCCCATTCCTCTAGAGAAACTTTCTTGGAAGATGCAGAAGACTGCTCTGAAGAGAAACAGATGGGAAAGCACTACTGGACGGCTGGATGTCTACACACATACACATTTGGTTACAAGCCAGCGCACATACAATATGGGAAATATTTTTCTACTCCAGGAAGGGGTAATTAACTTTGACCACATATAAGAAGTTATTTCCACCGCAGGGAACTTCACAGCTTTATTATTAATTAAGTATATTTCTATTAATAATGATCAATTTATGACAGGAGGGGTTAATTATTATGCCAGTCATGATAGACAATGAAACGCTGAAGCTGTGTTTCCAATTTGAGAACAGGAACTTAGAGTTAAAGCCAAACCAAATCAACATACTTTTGTTTGCAGTGATTTAAATAAATAGCATCTGATTCCTATAAACTTTGGCTACCATAGATATGATAGTCCTTTGGGTTCGAAGAAGACATAGGGTTATGCAGTCTGGAAGCACAAAGTCTAGCACAATGGAAGCACTGGAAGTCCATTGTTGTAGTAACTGTGTGTTACTATTCTCTGACACCACACATGGTTTTCTACCAATTTTTGACAGCGCCTGTCTTCCAAGCCAGTGAAGGCTTCATAGCACAAGGCTCGCCAGCGGGTTCTGTCAGCAGCTGCAGCTTCTCATTCCCTTGGCTTGATGTCACAGTGGCGTAAAGTTTCTTTCACGGCGTCTTTGTAGTGCTTCGTGGTTGACCTTGAGGTCTCTTCCCAGACTCCAGTATACTGTAGACCAGCTGGCTCGGCATAGGGCAGTCATCCATTCTGTCCCACCCATCTCAACTGAGATCTCATAAGCAGGGATTCAGTACTGGGGATTCTGCATGATCCAAGACTCCCATATTTTAGCTGCAAATATACAGGTCACCACAAGGTGGGAGCATAGTCTTTGCTGCCATCTGGAAATCGTCTAGAGTTTTACACCCCAGAAATATTAATCCCGTCATAATTATGAAATACAACTTATTAAGTACAAGCATTGTATAACTGTATCCGAAACAGTCCATGTTATTATAATGCCTGAATTGGAATGTTATGTATATCACCAGGATGCAAGTAAGAAAGACAAATCGTTGTCTTTTAATAGTAATTTTTCCATGTGTCATCAATCCTATTTGATATACTCATAGCACTTTCATACAGAAACTGGATTTACTCCACTGCCCCTTTCAACCTTCCATGCCAGTCTTGTGCCCCATGGAAACATTACCATTGTTGCAATATATAAGCCTGTTTATAAGATGATCAGAACATCTTCCAACCAGACAGCTTTAGAAATAAACATTGACAGAGTCAATAGCTTGCTACCATTGTCCTTCTTATGTTCCTGCCTTTATTTTCTGGCAATAAATAAATAAATAAATAAGGGATGGAATTAGGGAGGGAGGGAATGGCGGGAAGGAGGGCAGGAGATGATTTTCTGCTAGCTAAAATATTCTACCACAAATGACTGCAAAGGCTAGGTTTGCCTTCATTCCTGCAAAGAGCGGGAAGATCCAAAGAGACTGGCAGACGGAGAGGACAAAGCCTCTCTCACTGTCAGGCATAAATGCTCTGCCCGTGCCAGGGATCAGCTATAGCGCAGTAGTGCAAGGGTTAACCCAGACACCCACCAGGTCAGCTCCTCCCATAGAACCCTCCT